TTATTGCTTTCCTCTGAAAGTCATCCAAAGGGTTTATTTACATCTCCCAGATGCTGAAACAGGAGGACAGCACTCAGAAGCCCAGGAGTGGTGAGAGCTAGCTGGTAAGAGCTGCAGCCCTGAGTGTAAGGCCATTGTGTTGATTTTCTGGGGCCAGGGTGGTCTAATCCCCAGCTCACTTGATTCTTTTTTTTTTTTTTTTTTTTTGCCAAAGGCTCTACCCAGTTCAATCTGCCTCTTTACAGGGCATTTTCTTTTCTTCTTTTTTAAATTTCTTTTTTATTTTTTTGGTACAGGGATCGAACTCGAGATCTTGCACTTGTGAGGCAGGTGGTGGCACCACTGAGCTAAATCCCCGGCCCTACAGGCCATTTTCAATCCCTTACTACTGCTGCATGTTGTAATCAAAATCCCAGCTGGAGTCATACAGGTAGGTCAGGTAAATATCCCTTCTACCAAGAACTACATCCAGGAATCAGCAAGATGTGAGGAGAGCAGCACCACTAACTGCCCTTGGCCTCTCCATCCCCAAAATGAAGCAGAACCAGATGCTGCAGCTACCCACCCCCTCTCTCCTTTAGAGTTAGCTTAAAAATGCTTCTTTTAAGCATTGACTCTTCTGTGGCCTCCTGGTCTCCTCTGCTGTGCTCTGGCTTCTCTGCTGGCAGATGAGCTTTATTTGAAAAGCTTTCCTCCTAAGTGTAATTCCATTGCCTCTTTTCCACCAGGCAGGCAAAACCCTCTCGAAGGACCACACATGTGCTCCTGATCTCCAGTGCTGTCCTGAGCACTTAAGAGAGCCGGCAGTGACCTCTGATCCTCTTCCCCTTTGCCTCCTCAGACTTCCTCTGTTGGTTTTTTATGGCTTAGCTTCTTCTTGAATCATGTATCAGGGTATTATACTGCACACCCCCAATCCCACATGGAAAACTCTAATCAGCGCTCTCCTTCGGCATGCATGGAGCTTTTCCATGGCTTGCCCCTTTTCTGGTTCTCTTAGGGTTGGCCCAATGCCAGGTCAAAGAATTTCAGCTCTGGAGGCCAGAAAATGTCTTTGCTGTTCCAGCTCCTGAGGTCTGGGTCATCTCCAGCACCACCATATTAAGGCTAGCTTAGTAAAGTCTGCCACTCCTCACTCCAATCCCTGCAGACTTGCTGTTATAAGCAAGATCTATGAGCTGTCAGCCAGCCTTCTTTTAAACTCCTAGCTCTGAGTTGGCTCCCCAAGTCAGAGGTGGAGCCAAAGGCCCCAAACTCAGCTTTGTCAGGTCCTCTATAATGGGGATAATTTACTCTTTCCCTGTGGTTTCAGGTTAAGACTTGGTAATATGCAGGACATTCTTTCTCTGAACTTACTTTATATTTCTTGGCAGACACCCCACCCAAAAAAGCCTTCCACATGGTATCTGCAAGCAATGAACACACACACACACACACACACACACACACACACACATTTTTTTGGAGACAAGGTTTCACTGTGTTGCCAGGCTAGCCTCAAACTCCTAGTCTCAAGCCATCTTCCTGTCTCAGCCTCCCAACGGCTGGGATCCCACGCCTGGCTATTTTGCTTTTATATATAGTTTACAGTGTATGTATGCTCATTCAATTCTCTTACCTGTGCTGAGACAGGTACTCTTTCCCTATTTTACAGAGTTTGAGGCTCTGAGCAGTTGTAGACCTGCCAAAGCTTTTGGGTCCTCAACTTGTTGTGGTGGGTACTACAGAGGCATCTCAAGAATCATGTGTGAGATCTAGAGAGCCCTCTGGCAGCCAGGAACCATTGAGAGAGGTTTCTGTTGGCAAAAGCATAGGTGACTTGCCCAAGGCTCACACATCTACTCATTGCACTCAATCAGCCTTATCTTGCTAATTCAGTACCATTTCAACCACATTTCTCTCTTAGGAAGAACTTAGCCTTAACCCTTTAAGTTGGGGTCTTGGAGAAACTAAATGTTAGAAGACACTGGCTCAGACATGAAGAGAAAAGAGGCAGGGCAGGCCCCAAATATTGTCAATAACCAGCCTAGGAATAGTCGAGCAGGGGAATGTTGTATCACTTCATAAAAGCCTATGCCGATCATCAACAAACACACTAATCATTTTGTTATTTTTTGTGGTAATGGGGATTGAGCCCAGGGCCTTTGCAGTGAGATATATCCCCAGCCCTTTTTAAAAATTTGAAACAGGTTCTTGCTAAATCACAAAGTTGCTTGAACTTTCCAATCCTCCTGCCTCAGCTTCTGAGTGGTGGGATTACAAGTGTGCACACTCACCTGTCTTTGGTGCACATTTAAGTATGCTGGCTTCAGGTTGTTACACAACTCCCCACCCTCACGGTATTTATGTATGCATTTTAGAGGTTTGCAAGTACTTTCTCTAAACCAGTCCTGCATTTTTTTTTTTTTTTCCGGTACCAGGGGTCAAACTCAGGACCTTTTGCTTTCAAGGCAGGTGCAGTGCCTCTGAGCTAAATCCCCAGCCCTGTACTGACTTCTATTATAAATTGGGAATTGTACTTGGTGATTCTGGTTGGAGAATCCTGAGTGACCAAGTGTTTTAGAGGCCAAGTATGCTCACTAGTTATATGGATCCAGGAAGCTGCCACTTCATTTCTTCCATTGCAGTCTTCCTAATTCTCTTACCCTCAATATCCTTGCTCTCAACTTCCCTAGACCACAAGAACTTATTTTATGCCTGACTCTCTGTGGGTACCTAGGTACCTCAAAGCATTTTACTGTCTTTCCCTTTGATGGGACACTAAGAAGTAGATTAAGATTTGAACTCAGCAGTCTGTACTTCCATTTGCATAGTCCATGAGTCCATGGCTTTGGGTTCACAGGAGTTATTTCTCAACGTAATTTGAGACTGGACATACCATTTCCGTACAATAACCTTGGCAGGATCCTTCTGCACCCAAGTAAACTCCATTGTGAACTGAATGGAATAACTCCTGTTGGTCCCTGTTATTAGCGCAGGATGTCCTGAAGGTTATTTTTGTAAGTCTCTATCCTCAGAAACATCTAATTTTGTACTAATAATGACAGCCATTAGGGTACAGATGGTAAGATTTTCTTCTCATTTATACTCTCATATTAAGAACATTAGTTCTTGGGCCGGGGATTTAGCTCAGTGGTTTCACCGCCTGCTGCACAAGCACAAGGGCCCAAGTTTGATCCCTGGTACCAAAAAAAAAAAAAAAAAAAAAAGGAAGAACACTAGTTCTTTTAGAAAAGTAAAAATCTGTTTTGGTACCGGGGGTCAAACTTGGGACCTTGTGCTTGCCAGGCAGGCAGTGGAACCACTGAGCTAAACCCCCGGCCCAGTAAAAATCATAAACTGATTTGAATTCATGTCACTTAATTCCACTATGGGTATTCGAGGACCAATGAGCAGTCTGCCTGAAATATCCCACCTGAGAGAACGAAGCAGCTGTCAAAGCCATTATCCTGCTCCCGAGAACAAGTCCAGGGCTCACCCTGGCACATGGCTGACTCAGGCCATTGGAGAAGGACTGTCTTCCTTTGGAAGTATCTGTTTTCTTGACAAGAGTCTTAGTTGGTAAAAACACTATGGTAACTGTAGTAGGCAGCTTTACAGGCAGGATATATGAATTTTGTTTTCTCTCTAAAGAATAAAAGTGCAAGGTATGCCTGAGGCAGGTCAGGAAAAGGAATTTGGACACATCAGAAAACATTCTGTGGGAGCTATTTGTTTTGTTACTTTACTGCAATGCTCCCTAAATTATACCCTTTAAAAGGTATCAGTTCCAGGGTCTCACTCTCCTGGGTCCCTGTAAACCTGGGAAAGGACACCAAATAGACACCATTTCCCTAGCCTACATTTTGTTGTCAGATGTGACCTTTGTCCCAATACCTAGAAGTGTCAAAGACCATTGTCATGGATGTAGAGTTTGTTTTCTAGTCTTCAGCATGGCTTTGAATCAAGTTTCCAACCCGGCAAGAATTAAAACAAGAAACAAAGACAGGTAGAAGGGTGTCTAAGCAGCCAAGTCTTCCCTGGAAGAGAAGAGGAAGACGGGAGAAGTGAATAACAGGTTTATTTGTATATATACGAGAAGAGTTAACGTTGCTGGGTGAGAAGAGGCCGGGCCGTGAGGCCGTAAGGCTTCAGTAGAGGAAGGCACCTTGACAGACAACAAGAGACTCTCAGCTTATTAAATCAAGCACAGCTGCAAACTTCATTTGGCCCAAGCCAACAACTCATTTAACTCATTTATCTATTATCCCCAGGAAACATTTACAAAACCAGGTGGGAAATAAAGCAGAAAGTAAGTTTTACTTACCTGGACCTGCCACTTAAAACTTTATGTACAGGATGCAGAAGAAAACACAAGAGGCACTTCCAAGTTGTTTTTAATCTAACCAGTGCCATTTACCTTGCTAGTAAAAATACCTACTATGGAAGAATTTGGGGATTAAATGAACCTCCAAAGTTGGGGCCTCAATTCTACAGTAGTTTAGGCAAAGGGATCCTGGAATAGGTCAGGTTTCCAGGAAAACACACACACACACACACACACACACACACACACACACACGCACACACACAGATATTTGAAGTGAGGACAGAGTGGCTGCAGAAACATCCATTTCCCAGCCTACCTTGGGGAGTATTCCACAAGGCCTATCTCCTGGTGAGCTGAACCTGTGTGTTGGGAAAAGTCTCTCCCCAGGGATGGGAGGCATCCTTTTAAAAGTGATCTTTTTTGGCTTCTAATGTTAATCAAAATGAACTCTGACTTCTCTTTTGAGTACTCAAATAAGATAAACGCTTTTAACATGAGACTAAGTTCTCCATCTGGAACTGTAACTATCACTAGCAAGTTCCCAAGGGAATGCTACTTCTTTACTCTTCAGGAAGATATGTAGATTGTCTTTAGAGAAGTCAGAAGAGGCTACCTGCTGATTAGATGAACATAAAATAAAATATAACATAAGGACTGGGTATGCTAAGAAGGGGAAGAGAAACACACTGAGTGGTTGTATCTTTTTTGTATATAAAGGATTACAAAATTCCAATTTAATACATTTTGGAAAAGCAAATGTAAAATAACTTGGGCTTATAAAACCAGAATTTACAATTATCTGTGAATAGTTAAAGACAAATCATAGAACCATTTTAATTACAAATCCAAAGTAACTAATGTTGGTTACAGAACCACCGTTCCACTCCCCCAGTAAGAGTCCAGGTGAACTGTACATCCCACTCTACTCACACTCTTGCATGCCCTCAAAAACAGTGCTCTCACACGCAGCCCCATCACACATATACTAGGCACGTCCTCCTTTCCACAAAGCTTAGCAAGATGGCAGCTCCTCTTGGCTTACACCAACTCCTGTCCTTTTATAAAGCTCCTAGTTGCCTAGTACCTTTGCGCTCAAGAAAAGTATATTGTTCTCTCTCTTCCTTGCCAGTATTCTGCCTTTCTTGATGTCTGTGCCAATAAGACATCTGACCATTCTTATTAGGTCTTGCTGTCTTGCACAACCCTTCACTGATAACTGAGTGACTGTAACCACCACCATTACAATGCTGAAAATCTCTTGTCCTTTCCCCCCCCCTCAAACATTACCTACTTCAACAGAACTGAATTTCTTTTGGGAGCCAGGAGTTAAAGCAAAGACTCCTCTTCCCACACCCTCTGCCTCTTACTAAGAATCTGTCACTTTAAGAGATGTCTACTGCTCTGCAAAGTTCAATCAGAATACTACAGCCTCGGTCAACTGCAAGCCCAAGGGAAGACGCCAGTCCCATCAATTCTGACCAATGGTTTTGGGTTGAATTAAAAGAATACCATATTCTGGTCTTTACTACACTTCATTAACACACCTCTAACACGCACTTTAGTCATCTGGACACAAAGCTCTGGAGAGTTGTCTTTCCCTCTTCTTTAGTATGCCTGGTCACCATCAGTCGGAGCCAAGGAAGCACCTGGCCTTTTGAGTGTCTCTTCGGAACTAGCACCTAACTGGTTAAAGCGCATTATCCGTGACTAGTCAATAATTTATGACATATTCGCAAACAATGAAATTCATCAGGGAGCTATATGTTCTTGAATCTGAAGTTCTAACCTCTTGTTAGAAATGAAAATGCTTCACTTTTAGTATCTCCATATTATATGCTCATTGAAGAAGTGTTAGAGAAAACATGGAAGGTTTAAGAAAGGAACCATGATTTCCTCTCCAGCTGAGCCAATGGCTGAAGCCTTGTTTATATTCTGCAGGTATAAACCTACAACTTAATGGGTGCACAATCTGATCTATCAGGCACTCCTCCTTAAGACCTGAACACCTATGACATGTGAACAGGGTGAGATGGCAAAAACTACAAACCCACAGGTCCTTTCTGATGGTCAACTAGAAGAAAAGTCTCATAAGACAGTGAGCTCACAGTGCCAGTGTGCACACACAGAGGAGAACAGGTCAAATGTCTCAACAATGACTTTCAGAGATCCTTGCACAGGGGCACAATGCTCTTGTCTCACTAGAAAAGAGTTACTTGGACCTCTCCCCATTCCTAACACAACACAGGCCAATAGTCAGCTAGACATTCAGACCCACGGTTGAATATTGAATAGAAGGGAGCAGCAGCAGACACAAAATTTCAGGCCCTGGTTTTATGTGCCTTTAATACTTTTTTCCTTTCTGCTGTGTTCACTAAACAAGAATATTTTCTGAAGGCTACTTTTTGTAGCTTTTTGTTTTCCCTTTGCATTTATCATGTTTTTAGTTTCTTCTCTGAGGAGCAATTCTCTGAATCTGTGTCTTCCAACTCAACTCGGTACCTTTTGAGGCCACTGTGGCCATGAACAGCCCTGCTGCTGTCTGTGGCTGGTGTGTCAGTGGGGTCCTCTCTTGTTCCAGCATTGGGGGTTTCACAGGCCATTTCAGACCCACAACAATCTTTGTGTAAGAGAGTCCCTGTCAGGGGTGAGTTATCATGGTCAGTGTCTGAGTGTCCTGGGGAAGAGCAGGCTACTACCTCCAGCTCCCCGAAGTTCTGCCCATTGTTGTGGGGATGAGGGGGCCGGGGGTGTAAGCGTCCATTGTTGTGGTTGGCACAGATGGTTTCTAGGTTCCGCTCCTCACTGTCATCAGACTGGGTCCTAGAACAGTTGCCAGATCCACTGCTGAGAGTGGAGCCAGATGCCTTGGGGACAGGGGGAGAGGGTGGCTCTTCAGCCCGGCTGCTCAGGACCTTGCTCAGGGCCTTTCCATTGAGCTTCTTTGTTTCAAAAGAGTGTTCTACAGAGCTACCATTGCTGGTGTCCTGAGAGGTGCCCTCTGGTGCCTCTGCCCGAGGCTGGCTGCTGTGCTCATGGCCTGGGCCACTACTGAGATTTCTAATGGACGTCCCTTCTTTACTTGCATCTTTGCTGCAGCCTTCTGGGGACAGGTCCTGATTCCTCTGGGCCAAGGCTGTGTTCAGAGAGGCTTCCTTACTAGAAGAAGGGGCAGGGTTTTCCTTGTGGCTGGTTCCTGCTCTCCCTTCATCTGCGTCCCCTGCTATTAGGGAGGCCTCTCCGTCTTTGTTATTTGAGTAGGAGATGTAGGAGTAACGGAGCCACTTGTAAGCTTTAAAAATCTTTCGCTCAACTGATTCTATGTCTGAGGTTGGTGACCCCCGGCTCGGCTGAATCTCAAGGGCGGAAGTGCTTCGCTCAGGGGAGGAGGCTGGGGAGGAAGAGAGGTCATCTACTTTGATCTGAGGGTAGTCGCAATTGTCCTCGCCAATGTAGGTGCTGGTGGGTTTGGTGGGCACACCAGGCCTCTCCTCCCGAAGCGTCTTCTGCCTCCTCCGTGCAGCGTTCCGCTGCCTAGTGGAGGTGCGGCGCTCATTCAGCTCCTCCTCATCCTCGGAGCTGCTGGAGCTGCTGGAGCTGCTGGACTCATCCTCAGGGCTGGGTGAGCGGGGCCGGGGGAAGAGGTCTGTGTCCAGCTCGACCTCACAGGCGTTCTCCTCTGAATCTGACTCATTGGACAGGGCTAGAAGGCGTTTGTCCTGGTAACGCCGCAGAGCTGAGAGGCGCTGTTGGCGAGAGGCAGAGTCCTCACAGGAAGGGGCTGGTGGGGTGGACGCTGCTGCAGGTGTGGCGGTGACACGCAGGGGCCCCAGGTGGAAGGCACTGTCGGCTTCATCCACGGTGGGGGGTGGAGAGCGGGGCAGCGAGGCCGAGGATTCCGAGTCAGTGTAGCCGGAGCGCTCACTGACCCCTGCGTGCAGCTGGAGGATGGTGCTCTCACTGAGGTCACTGTCCGAGTCCGAGCTCCAGCCCTCGATCTCTCGGCGGACCAGGGAGTCAAAGAATGCCATCATCCGGGGGTCCTCCTGGACAGACTGATTGGCGTAGTCATGGGACAGGCCACTCCCACTGTTCAGCACCAGGCTGATGTACTCTTCATGGGTGTAGAGGCAGCGGGAATCATCTTCAATGCGGCCATCAAGGTCTCCGGTACATCCTGGCTGTTTGTATGGGCTCCATATCTGCATAGATGAAGAGAAAAGCAATCAGAACTGACTGGAAAGGATGCTATAGCTGGTGGTGATAAAGAACACCAAGGCAGGGTTTCCACAGGCCCTCCCCATCTTAACCAACTCTATATTTTCTAGCTGACAGTGATGGCAGTAGTCCTGTAATGCCAGTACTCAGCCTGAGGCAGGAGCATCACAAATTCCAACTTAGTCTGGGCTGCATAGCAAGACTCTGTCTCGGAAAAAAACAAAACCATAAACAAAAAACTTTACCAGACTTGATCAGGTGAGTTGCAGTTGCATATGAAAATAGGTTTCCAGAGTAAGATGTGGGGAAAAAGCCTGGTCTAGAACAATGGAGTAATCTCATGTCAAGAGACCTAGGTCATGTCTCTAGGTCCAGGATAATTACACCTTGTCTTTCCCACAATCTCCTCCCTTCAGGTTCCTCTGTTAGTAGCTCGCAAATTATAATCTTAGTCTCAGAGGACGGAGGATGCCCTTATGAAGGTTGCCAATGTGTCAAAAACTTTCAGAAGGTGGAAGCTGTGCCCAGAGAGGTCCCACTTCTCCTAAGTAAAAACAGCCAGTAGGGAGTCCTCTCATGACAGTAGTTCAGCCTATACCTAGCTCCACTTCTCTCCAACTGCTACGTGTCTGTTTTTAACTAATGGGAATTGCTTACTGGAGCACTTGATAAGAATAGCCAACTGCCTACACTGCAGTTCCCTCTTGGACATGCAGACACCAGTTACCCAGGAAACTGGGTTCTTTTAACCAGGGAGCTGCTGGCTCGCTCCCCAACTCTTCTCCTAGCTGCAGGAACAGGTAAGACACACTCCTAGAGGAATGACTGCAGTCTCATCCTTTAACACTCCCGTACTCCCTGGTCAGGGACCTGGTTTGTAGTGAAAAGGTGGCAAAACTAAGATTCCAACTCAGGTCTATCTGATTCAAAGGCCCAACTTTATAGATTGGGTAAGTTATGCAAAAATCAAATTCACGGTAATTAAGCTGTCACTGCAAAGGAGAATGATTAGTTCCACCTGACTGCCAGACTGGTCCACAGAGAAGCTCAGTTACCTCAACATGTAGCCATGGCAACTCAATGAAATTCCAGGCGATTTTCTTGCCTGACAGGCTGGTGTCTATCTTTAGATGGCATCCAACCCAGAGAACAGTGGCGATATCTGAGGACAAATTCACCTCCTTGTGGGAACTTTCCTGAGGCTCATTCCTGCTATCATTTACTTGGCAATTTCTGGGAGACCATCTCTTTGGAAGACTCCATGTTCAAAGGGGGCTGAAGAAACCTTCCAGAGTTGCTTCTCCCCACCAGTTCCCAACTCAGATTCATTCTTCCTTCAGTTTTGTTTCCTGTCTGCAACTCCTTGGGTGTTTTCTCCTCTCTAGCTTCATAATCTTACCCAGGAGTCTTAAAACAATGTTTCTCAAACTCTGGAGTGCTCAAGAATCACCAGAAGAATAACTACAATGTTGACTCCAAATCCTTACTCTTAAGAGACTCTGGGAAAGTCACAGATAAGTACCAGGACTATGCTTTTTTTGGGGAGTGGGGGAGTACTGAGGATTAAACCCAGGGCCTCACTCCTGCTAGGCCACAACTCCAAGCCTTTACAAAAATTTTAGATTTTAAGTAAGGTCTTGAAATGTGGCCTAGTTTGGCCTCCAATTTATGATTCTGCTGCCTAAGCCTCTGAAGGAGCTGAGATTATGGGTGCGAGATTAGAGGCTTAGGACCATGTCACGTGCTATTTCTCTACCCTGAATGGGCCTCAGCTCCCTCCTCTCACAGGGAATTTGATGCATCTCATCCATTCCTGAAATCCAGTGCACTCCCAGGCAGCTAGGGTCTGCCTCAAGGAAGTGGCAGTACAGAGCTGCAGAAGGAGCTTGGCCTCACCATGTCCTATGGTCCTGAGCAAATGACTTCACCCTTGAAAGTCTGCTTCTCATCCACAAAAATGACAACTATGAAATGACACCACTTAGTAAGCACCAACAGACACAGTACTTTCTTTTTCTTTTGGCAAATGAATTCAGTAACCAGAGAGCTTTATATCCATTCTCAGAGAGACCTGAACATCAAAAAGTACTAGTCAGTATTATCTTGTACTAGTCCCTAGTATCTTGGTCATCATTTTTAAAACATCAGTTTCAAGCATCTGTGAAATTGTTTATTTCTTTACTCCAAATGTCATCAACCAAGAAGCAAAGGAATGGGAAGAACAATGACAACAGAAAACCCCAATTTCCTAGCCAGGGGCAGTGGCACATGCCTATAACCCCAGCTCAGAGAGAGGCTGAGGCAGGAGGATTGCAAGTTTGAGTTTTGTCTGGGCAATTTAGGGAGACCCTGTCTCAAAAAAATATAAAAATAGGTCCAGGGAAATATGGTCACTATGGTGATCTGTGCAGACTTAGGTTTCAAATGGCTAAACATGCCTGCTGGTTCCTACGGGAACCTGGAGCAGTATGCTCCAGAAAGCTGTCTGGATAACCTCACAGAGAAAATATTTTCTTCTCTTTCTTAAGAACTTGGCTAGTTTCCAACCTATGACCTTTAGGGTAAGGACTTCAGTTGACTAAACAGTAATTGTAGAGACTCAGCACAGAAGCATCCCAGAAGGCACAGCCAAAAAGGAATTTCTCTTCTAAAGGAGATGCCCAAGCAAAGAGCTCTCTGAGAAAAAGAACGACGTCAGCAGGCCTAGAGAGGATATGTTACAGTGCCAACCCATTAGTCACAGGCCAGAGGAGAGGAGAAAGCAATGTAAGGAACGGGGCCCTCTCATCCAAGCAAAGGACCACAGGGATGATCAAAGCAGGCTGCTCACTGCTCTTGCGCTAGCATGGTGAATGCGGTGTCACAAAGGACAGAGTTCTATCTTAGCTTTACCCTTAACTAACTGTGTCACCTCAAACATAATTTATAATTTAAATTTTATCACCTATAAAAAGAAAAGTTGATAAAAATATTCCTGAAGTCCCATTCTGTCCCTCTAGGGAAAAAAGTGCAGCCATCAAAGTTAGTCCTGATTCTATCTAACAAAGCTTAAACAGAGAAAGTTGGACCAAAGGCAAAAATATTTACCCACGGACTAATGTTATATCCCCTCCATTTGTTAAGTGGTGGGAGGGGGGACGGGGGGATCCTTACTGTGTTCCCCTTAGACTCAAGCCTGAGTGGCTGAGGTTATAGGTGTGCACTACTGACCCTGGCATCGATATTTTATTTCCTTCATTTCTTGTGTGGTGTTGGGGATTGAACCCAGGGATGCTCTGCCACTGAGCTATATCCCCAGTCCTTATTATTTTGGGACAGGGTCTCACTAAGTTACCTCAGACTTGCTGTCCTTCCTCAGCCTTCCAAAAAGCTGGAATTACAGTTATAGGCCACCATGCCCAGCTTCAATAATTTATTCCTGACAGCTATTTCTTGTCATCAAATATAACTTCATTTAACTTTTAATAGTTAAAAACAAAAGAATAATTGCTAAGTAATCACAAACAGTTTTTACTTTTTCTCTGAAACTTATCTCAGGTTATTTTCCTTCTGAATCTTCTTTCATTTTAAGAAAAAAAATTGAGAAATTAACTTTTTTGGGGGGGGGGATATCATTTTATCCTTACTTAAAAGTTAAGTTATCACAGGGTCCTTACAAATTCATCATTTTTCCTGTACCAAGTTCCTCAGATGTGGAAAAAGGATTATGAGCAACTGGAATATGAGTGATGGGCCACGGACTATCTTTGTGTGGATACAGGTAGGGTGCCCCTCTGCTGCAGCTATAAAAATATTCCTTGCCTGAGGTAAGTTTATTCACCTGATATGCAATTGGTGTGTTTAGTATTCACATCCAAGTAGTCTCAATCACATCTACATGTAATAGTTTTTTGTTTTTTTTTAAATATCCTGACACAATTTAGCTATGGTTCTGAAAAATCACTTGTTATACCTATACCATATTAGGACAACAATTAGTGCAAAGTGTATATGGAGGGACAGTGTATACTAAAGGGATACCTCCAGGTAAGGTTTAGAAAGCAGAATTCATCATACTGAAGATGAAAGGCCACTGAAAATTTAACAGCATACAAAGTACTATCTAGAATCCACCATCCGTTTCAAAGTCTAGTGATTTTTGTTTTTTCTTTGTTTTCTGAAGTAATTAGTTTTTAAGTGATTCTAGAGTTATAGGCCAAGGGTATAGGGAAGCAATGAGACTTTAGACCAGCAGGCCCAGGAGATTCAAAGATATCTTAAAGGTCTTCAGCTGAGACCTGTATATATAGCCTCTATCATAAAAATAACCATGGTAGGGGCTGGGAATTTAGCTCAGTGGTTCTGCTGCCTGCCTTGCAAGTGCAAGGTCCTGAGTTCTACCCCAGGACCAAAAAAAAAAAAAAGCCATGCTTGATAGTTACCTATATGCACAATCAAAGGGGTAAAGAATATATATAAGCATATACATAACTGTAAGCATATAAATGTAAGATATAGAAATGTATTCATGTATATATGTAGTTTTATTCACAAGTGAAGGAAAAGCCATCTACCCTTTTCTGTGCAATTGTGGTACAAACAGTATTTCTAATGAAAAAATAGATACATGAGCACCACTGAGCTAAATCCCCAGCCCATAAACTTCTTTTTTTTAAAAAATTTCTTGGACTGGGGATCTAGCTCAGTGGTTTCACTGCTTGCCTTGCAAGCACAAGGTCCCGAGTTCGATCCCCGGTACCAAAAAAAAAAAAACCAAAAAAACCCAAAAAAACTTCTTAATAAATGTATTAAAAATAGTTCTGGGCTGGGGATTTAGCTCAGTGGTTCCGCCGTCTGTCTTCCAAGCACAAGGTCCCGAGTTTGATCCCCGGTACCAAAGAATAGTTCTGAAGTTTAAATCACTTTCTAATATCAACTTCTCAATATTTTTTGATATGTCAAAATCATTAAAAATTTTAATAGACCTAAGTGTGTTTAGATATGATGTCCTATATACATTGTTCCAGTTTCTTCTGATTATGAACTGTAATAATTTCTCTAAAGGACAGAAAAGGAAGGTGCCTCACCTTGATAATCTTTTCTACACCAGAAGAGCAGATCATGTAGGTGTGGGGATTAAATCGGACCTGGTTAACAATAGATCGATGCCCTTTCAGCACCATGAAGGCTCCATTGACCACCCTTCCAATGCCACCTGGGAAGACAGAAGGACACAAAAATCAGATGAAAGTAAACAGATAATGGCAGATACACAGCTCTGAACAGGAGCTGACATTTTTTATTAACTATACCAACAGCAGAATGCTTAATTTTACAGATAAAGTTGCTATGGAAAGAGAGATGAAATGCCTCAGCATATGGCTTCCTAAGAGCCTTTATTTAGTCTATTAGCTCTGCTCACACCCACCCACTGCAATTCCATTGTCCATGAAACCAAAGCCACTTCAAATGTTTCTCAAGTTTTTGATCTTCGAGTTAGAATTCAATTATTACCTTAGAAAAGGTTGACTGAGAAACAATGATATAAATGCACATAAGACATCTTTGATCCACTTGCCCCAAATTCTATGATGAAGACAGGAAAACAAACTAACAAACAAAACCCACCAAATAAAAAACAACCCACTGGGAAAATAATGAAGAGAATCCCTTTTCTCCCTTGATAGCAGGGAAAACTAAAGGTAAAGAAAGGAGATTTAAATCACTTCTATATTAAGCAGGGCCTAAATATTAAGAATGTAAATTAGAGAGCCTTAAAAACACCATGTATGAACTAAAAGTCAACAGGCCACTGATAGAAAGCTGTATTTTAAGGACCATCCTGTAGCCTTTCTGTTTCAGTGAATGATAAAAAGTACCAGAGGCCTGGAACTTGTAACACAGACCAAAGATGTCATCACTTATGGGCTTGGGATAAACTCTGAGCTTTAACTCCATTAGTAATGGTGTCACATCCATCCATAACCCATACATCCAAGTTCTGAACCAGGTTGCTTCCAGGTAGCCATCAACAGCTGAGTACATATAAAGCCAACTATGCCCTTGGCCAACAGAAAATGTGATGCATCCAGACAAAAACAAATGAGTGTTCATTTATGTAATCAATGAATAGCTTCTCAGTTGTTACCAGAAGCATGGCACCATGAGTGCACAAACTATCACTGGGTAGTTTCTGCTCCACATGCATCCAGCCCACTCCCACTCCACTTTTTTCAAACATTCATTCCAAACTTTTCTTGATGTCTGTGTCTAAAGGAAAAATGACCAGAATATCTCTTCCCCTTAAATAATCTTGTTCTAGCGCTGTCTTCTGGTTTTGGTCTCCTGACACAAGTCCTCTTCTGCCTCATCCAAGAGATCCCCCTCTATTACCATGGACATATTAAAAAAAAAAAAAAAAAAGCAAAAGATTTGACGGCAAAAGGTTTCAGACTACACTGGTGTCCTTTACCCAAATGTTTTCCCAGATGTAATGTTTTTTCTTTTCTTTTTTCAGATAGGGTCTCACGATGTACATATGGTCTTGAACATAATATGTAGCCTGGACTAACCTCAAACTTGTGGCCGTCCTCCTGCCCCAGGCTGGGATTACAGGCACATACCACCATGCTCAGCTTTCCAGTATTTAATTTTATTAATACTTGAATTATCCAGGATGATTATACATTTAAAGCTATTGATATCTCAGTACAATAGCATCAAGTTTGCTAATAAACCACAAAAAAGACTAGGAAAAAAGACTAGGACATAGGAGTGGAGGGGTTTTTTTTGGTACCAGAGATCAAACTCAGGACCTTGCACTTGCGAGGCAGGCGAGACAGGCAAGGCGCGCCTGAGCTAAATCCCCGGCCCAGGAGTAGAAGCTTTTTAATGGAGAAAAGGCATCAGGAAAGGTTAAGCACTGAGCTAGGCTACCATGGTGTCGGGTGGGGGACCCTTAACAGTCTGAGTGTACTGTTCCTAGGATGATATGGGGAAGGAGGTGACTTGGGCCTAATTAAAGTAAAACTAAATGGGAGAACTAGTGAAAAGAGATCCATGGGAATCTAAGGAACCTAAAATAGTTATCCAAATACAGGGATCACAGGAACCCAAAGGAGCTCTGCTGGTTCTATTTCTTTTCTAGATCAGGTTGATTGAACTCATACTCAGGTTAAAAAAGATACTGCAAATATTTTCAGCATTTCATGTAACAACCTTATCTGGCAGATCTACATTGAGTTATCAAACACAATGTTACAAAACATACTGATAAGGCATAAGTGTGAGGAAATACATAGAAAAGTGATCAACCTTGGTAACAGTAGTTATTTGAATGATATAATGGATATCACATCTTTAAAATTACTTTCTTGGGCTTCAGAGAATTCATCATATGATAGCATGGGATATTCACAAAGAATCCAATGGTTAATTCCATCTTCATCCTAACTCTTCTTATTTGACCTATGTAAGATTCAACATAATTGCCTCTGCCATGGTTTTCCTACTACCTCATCAGTCAGTCTTTCTTGATCTCCTTTTGGCTCCTCTTTTTGACTTCTTAACTTTGGACTGTCTTAGGATTCAGTCCTTTTTACCAGCTACACTCACTTGACTGGTGATTTTGTCTATTGTTATGGCTTTAATTACTAACTCTGTGCTACCAAAACTATTTATTTTCTATTTCTAATCCAGATCTTTTTTGAACTTCAGACTTCCAAATTATTTAACATCTCTACCTGGTGTTTGTCATCTCAAACTACCTAATCCACTCACTCCCCTTGACCATCTTTTAGGAAATTCTGATGGCTTTACCTTCAAAATACATCTGGAATCCATTCCCTACTACCTTGGTTTAAGTGCTACTACTCACCTATGAGACTTCTAGCAGGTCTCATTTCTTTGGCAGCCCAAATTCTACTGTCTATCTTAAACTCAGCAGCCAGAGCAATCCTTTTAAAATAGGTCAGAACATATTTGCTCTTCTGCTCAACATTGTTTAATGGCTCATTTCCTCAATAACAGCTTATGTGGCTTAGCATGGACATCGCTCATGCCCCACCTTCATCTCCTACCATTCACCCCACCATCACAGTGCCCAATAATTTCTGTGTGGTTTATCAAACACACCAGGCACACTCTTTAGGACTTTTGTGCAGGTTCTCCCTAAAATGCTCTTCCCCCAGACTGCTGCATACCTTTCTCAGCACTTTGAGGTTTTGGCTCAAATGTGACCTTCTCAATGAGGCCTATACTGAACATCCTATCTAAAACTGCATTCCCATAACCACTTCCTGCTATATCATTTCCTAGACTTCTTACTCTGCTCTACTTCTTAAATAGCATGCCTAAAAGCTTTAAACAAACATACAATCTGATTGTGTCTACTGTTCATTGTCTGTTTCCCTTGCTAGAATGTAAACTCCGTGATGGCAGGGTTCTTTTGTCTCTGCTGTATCCCAAGCCTGTAGAACAGTGCCTAACACATAGTAAGTTTTCAGTAAATATTTAATGAGTGAATGAAAAGATCTGAGTGTATTACAGTATGGAATACAGAATGCAGGGGGAAGGGCCAGGGATGTGGCTCAGCGGCATTGTGTCTGCCTTGCAAGTGCAAGGTCCTGAGTTTGATCCCCAGTACCGGAAAAAGGAAAAGGAAAAAAGAGAAGAAAAAAAGCCACAGAATTCAGGGGGAAAAGTATTCATCTGTGGGGTCTATTGCCCAAAATGTTGATTATTCTCAAGTGTTTCTTGTTTTTTGTTTGTTTTTTTTTTCGGTACCGGGGATCGAACTCAGATCCTTCTGCTTGCAAGGCAGGTGGCAGAACCACTGAGCTAAACCCCTGGCCCCACTGTTTTTGTTTTTTGGTACCTGGGATTGAACTCAGGACCTGGTGCTTGAGAGGCAGGTGGTGGAACCATTGAGCTAAATCCCCAGCCCCCTTTCAAGTGTTTCTATGCCTCTAATTTCCTGCTGCCAATTTTGGATATTTGTTTTATTGCATTTTACTGTGGTAAGAGCAGAGGAAAAAAAGCAGTTGAAATCCTACTTATCCTTCAGGGTACTTTACAATGTTAATTACATGAAAACTATACTAATCTGCTGAAATCTCTTCAAGCGCTCCTTAAATGGACCTCGGATTCCACTTTTAATCTGAGTGTGTTTTGGGTGAGCATGCATGCACATATGTGTACATCCTTTTCTCATTCCTGTTATACTGGAAATTCTTTGAATTCAAGAAAGTGTCTTTTGGATGGCCTGTAGAGCTTTGCATAATGTCTTATCTAGGGAGACTCTGTAAATGAACAAACTGAAGTAAATCCCCTTGTTTTCTCTGAAATGAAGCTCAAAGAAGGCTAAAGGTATTACCTGCTAAAATGAGATTTGGTAGGTAGCTGTTAAGATAATCTATTTCATTCCTGACTCTACTGGTAGAATTAAGAGTTTACTGTTGTGAGAGGCAAAAGATTACTTCTCTTCCTTTTAAATAAGAGACACTCAAGAAACCTCTTAGCATTTCCAGACCCTGTTTGTTTTGGTTTGGTTTTTTTGGTACTGGGGATCGAACTCAGGACCTTGTGCTTGCGAGGCTGGCAGCAGAACCACTGAGCTAAATCCCCAGCCCCTCTTAGCATTTCCAGAAGACCTGAGTGAACAGTTGTAGGGTTTTCAAGTTTCAAAACATAAGCCATAAAGAGAAATATAATTGAGGATACTGATAATTCAGAGAGCAGTGGCTGCCTCCCGGGGACCATGGAACCACTTAGGAGATGAGAGAAGCCAGGACAGAGACAGACAGTGCTGTCAGTAAAGCTCCATAGGCAGTGATGCTTAACTGTACACAAAGTCAATTATATTGAGTTCTTTTACCATACGTACATCATATGTGTTTGCAACCAACTACTTGTGACCAATTAAAAAGTAGTTTTTCCAATTACATGGGAAGAAAAACCAGGTGCCTAGGTCTAACTCATTGAGTGGACGCATGTCTAGAAAAAGGAAAGGAGAGAGCAAACACACATGCAGGCCCACTACCCATTTACAGCCTACTTCCTCAGGCTACTGCCAGTAGAGTGGGTGCAGTAACTCGGCAGTGAAAATCATGTTGCTTCCTGCAATTCAAGGAAAAACTTGTCAAAAAAGGGAACCCTTTTAAACTACTGATGAGTCAAGAGCAGTCTTCATGTAAGAACAACACAACCAGGAAGGCA